CAAACCAGGCCTCTCCCATGCGCGATGGAACTCTTGAATGCCACCTCCTCATGGTGCTGTGAGCACAGAAAGACCCGAAAACGACTTAGGCCCTGGAACACGGCAGGGACTGAGCTGAACAAGAGACAGGGTGGACCCTCCCTGCCTCTGCCAGCTCCCGGGGGCTCCGGGCATCCTTGGCTTGTGGCTACGTCACGCAGGCTCGGCCTTTTTCCTCACGGCCTTCTCCTTGTGCAACCGCTTCCACCTCCTATAAGGATACTCGTTGGATTTAGAGCCCGCCCCAATCTAGGATGGTCTCATCTTAACTTTTACCTTGATTACATCTGAGTATTTTCCAAATAAAGGCACATTCGCAGGTTCCAGTGGACATGTGTTTTGGGGGTCACCATTCAGCCCAGGACAGTAGGCACTGTGAAATGTGGGTGCCTCAGAAAGGTCCCTAGGAAAGGCTACTAGGAAAGTTTCTGGCCCTTTCTGAGTCTCCGTTATATCATCTGTAAAATGGTCGAGGAACACTTAGGCCTGGAAAGACTCACTCTGTGAGGAGGGGCCAGCCCATCAGCCGCTGCCGACAGACACATGCCAGGAGTCAGGTGGCTGGCTCTCCACTCTCCACTGATGAGGGTCACCTGGCCCATGGGTTTTTAGTGCCCGACTCCCCTGGCTCTGGGGGTGGGTGCGGCACAGGCATGCACCTCCCAGGAGGGCTTCAGACAACAGCAAAGGCGCCAATGGGATCGGAGGCACCAGGTTGCCTCCTGGCCACTGACGCTGAGGGAGCAAGTTGAACTCTTGGTCAGATGCAGATGTTAGCTTGGGAACTGTTTCTGATCCAGGCCTGTGGCTTTACCTGGGAGGGTCTGTGTGCCTGTGTCCCCATCCTGCTGAGCACTCGCTGCCCAGGTCCCATTGGGCCAAAGGTCCCAGGGGTGCTACGTGACTCAATGTCACCACTGCCCAGTGGTCAGCAGGTTCCTGGTGGGGCAAAGGGGTGAGGGGAGCTCATGGGGGCCCCAGGCCTCCAACGGAGCCTATGCCTTCCATGAGGGTGACAGCCTCAGTCACCCTGAAACAGGACAGGGTGACAGCATGTGAGGTTTGCAAAGGGACCTGTGAAAGGGAGGTTCCGTAACACCTGTCATTTAGCGAATTGAAGCCTGCACTTCAAAGCTGCACCGATTTCCTGTGGCAAACACTGCGGGGGCGGGGGGGGGTGTGTGTGTGTGGTGGTGGCCTGTCTCAGGGTCCATCTTACCCTGGACACTGAGTTCTGTCCCGGAGCTTATTTGTCCCAGCTCTGCAGGTATGCTCAGGACTTGAATCTCCCGCTGACGTGGGAGATGAGCCCGGGATCCACAAGCTCCCCTCACCCTGCCCACGAGGCCATGGTCTTGTGACCAGAACAGGCTCCAGAGTAGTTGGCACCTCATCCCTTGAACTGCCTGCACATGATCTGTCTTGGAGGCCTGGTCCCAGGACTGTTTGGTCACAGGGTGGTCAGCAGGCCTGGCCCAGCACTGCCTGGCCCCAGGTGATCAGCAGACCAGGTGTGTGGTGCAGTGCTTGGAGCCAGCTCAGGACAGGGCACCCTTCAAGAGCACCTCAGGAGAGCTCCCCTGTGCTCCCTCCGGTGCTCTCTCTGGAATGTGCATTCCTTTGCACCTGCAGAGTCCTGCTTATCCCAGGGCCTTGCCCACATACTTCTGTGGGGAGGGAGGGTGAGCATCTGTCCTCTAATCAGGGAAACTGGGGGTCGGGCCTCCTGCCCAGGGGTGTGGGAACCTGCTGGCATGCAGTTGGTCTGGGATCATGAGGACAGTCCCTGTGAATGCCCAGCCAGGAGACGGGCCTCACATCCCCAGGATGCTACAGGTGCCCCTAGAGTCTGGAGGAGCTGCCCAGGGCTGCTCCTGTTGGCCTAGATCTCCAATAGTTTACATATCCTACCCCCAATTCCCCAACAGGTTGCTGCTGTGTCAGACTCTTATAACTACTTCTGTACCATTAAAGGTCTTTAATGATAAAGGGTCCTTGCAAGTATGCAAGCTTGCCTTGAGTTTAAAATTTTCTCAGTTACTGGCCTCATTTTCCTATTAGGATATACTTTTATACCTCCTGTTTATTATTCACATTAGATATTTCTTTTCCCATATTCTGGGATACAGATTTTGGTGCAATTGTGAAAGGTGGCTCCCGCCTCAAAGACGATCCTGAATGCATGTGCTGGAGGCACTGCTGCACGGGCATGGCTGTCACACTTGCTAAGGATAAAATTCAAGGCTTGAAATACAGCCTGGGGCTTTCAGGCATGGACTGAATGTTTTCAGCCCCGAGGCCTGGGTGCTTCAATGTTTTCATCAAGGGATTATCAGCTCAGTTCTGACAGGTAAAAGCGGACATCTCCCTGAGCCAGTCATGCTGGGGACTAGACTTCCTGCTGTGCGATGGTATTTCCCAGGACTTACAGAGCGATTTTGCAGCCTCTAAAACCCCAGGTAAATAAATACTACTCCTAGCTGCTCTGGCCAATGCAGATGGCAGCAGCTCACTGGGCTGTACCTGGGGTCTCAGCCAGGCCTCTCCCAACCAGCCCATGATGCTTCCATTCCTAGGACAGGTGTGGCTGGGGTAACCTGCCGGGACCTCCCTCAGTTGTCAACGGCCTCACTCCCAAAGCCCGTGGAGGAAAGCACACGTCCAGCACCTCCAGTCCCTACAACTTGAGCTTGGCCAGCAGACCTCCCACTTCTCTCCTGGCATGGGGTGGGGTGGCGTGGGTGGGGGGAGGGCTGGCAAAGCTCAGCCAAGGACTCAGCTAGTTGGGACCCCAATCAACCTGCTACAAGTTCCCGAGCTGCCCTCTGCCCTGTCACCTCACTGTTTCCCGCCTCGCACGGGCACAGTGTACCGCACTGAGGACCAGGGACGGAGGGAATGATCTGAGAGTGAGCTGCTGCCCCGAGGCAGAGCTCCGGGTTTGCTCAGCCTGTCTCTGCTGGATCTGGCCCAAACCAGAGACCCACAGCTCTACAGGCACCTGACCAATTGCTGGCTGAGCACGCTGCCCCTCTCACTGGGCGCCACGGAGAGGGCGCCAGGTCTGCTGGCTCCACTGGCACTGGGTCCGGCCCCCATGGGGCTGGCACAGCCAGGAGCTCAGGGATGATGGCTCAGGAGTAGCGGCTCTGCCTGCTCTCGCCTTCGGGCCTGAGAACTGCCTGCCTGTTTCCAGGGGAGCAAGAAGCAAGTGAGGCAATCAAACCGCCATTTAATGATGCGCATTAGCAGCTGCTCTATGTCCAGTGGCCCCCGCAGGAGAGACCAGAGATGGCACCTTCTCAGGGGGAGGGCAGACTCTGGACTCTATACAGCAGTTTTCAACTGCCCACCCACGCCAGCAACCAGGGCACATGCCGTGACGTGTGGAGACATTAGGCACTGCCATGCTGAGACCCGACTCAAGATGATGCTGGGCAGATGCCCGGCCCATGTGCCACCACTCCCCAAGCCAGAGCAGATCCACTAACTGTTCCCAGTCCTCTTTCTCATGGACCCAAACTGGGGCGCAATCTTTGCTTCAACACAGAGCTCCAGGCACAGGCAGACACAGATGAATGACTCACAGTCCCCCCACTTGAGCTCCAGCCTCACGGCCCCCCTCCTGCTGTTGACTGGGAAGGCAGGACAGGAGCAGTTCAGGACCTCCCGCAGGGACCAGGGGCATAGGGGTATGGGAACCCCAGGACCCCACAGTATGATGCTGATGGCTCCTGTCACACTACAGAGTGCCCTGTGCCACCACCTCTTTTCTGGGGGCTCTTCTGCAACCTCAAAGCTGCCTCTAACTTGCATTCCCCACCCTGGAGGCCCTTGCACCTCAGTTTGCCTTCCTCATCCTAAAATGCAGCCATTAACAGCAACTCCCGGGAGGGCCACCAGGAATGAGAAAACTAACAGCCAGATACAGGGCCCTTTGGCAAGTTGCAATGTCACAGACTGTGCTGGGAACCAGAGTAATAGGGGTGGGAGCTTTCAAAAGGCCCTGGGGAACTGATTTTAGAGAAAACCAGCCATGGTTTTCTGTCACGCAGACATGGGAACCATCATTGACCCAGGAATGGGGAGGAAATCTCCCACGCTCAGAGAAGCTTCCTCAATAGAAGAAGCCTGGGAGGGCACCCATCATGCGCATGTAGGGACAGGACCAGGATCCGTCCTTCCTCCACTACCCAGTTCCCGAAGCAGAGGACAATCCCTGCATCCCTGAGGCCTCCCCTGGCCTCTGTGCCCTGGGGAAGGCCTGGTCAAAATATCAGCAGGGCTCTGCCTGGCCCCAGACCTGAGAAACACACACATGGCTGCTCACATCTCCGATCTGGGGATGCATGTCCAGAGCCTCAGGGCCGACCAGGCCGGCCCCCACCCAGTGCTTCCCCTCCTGTGACAGCCTGAGGAGGGTGGGGCTCAGCCAGCCAATGGGCACCCCTCCCAGGACCCCCGACTATGAAGAAGTCATTCCTCTAACTGGGGGAGCACT